AGAGAAACCTGTGTAAGATCTGCAGAGCAGAACTTACCTTCCACAGCAATTATTTTTAGTTAGCAAATAGCTAAAATCTAACCTCTCAGTAGAGTTGTTTACAGAGCACGCAATTTCTGGTTAGCTTCTTAGCTTAGCCTCCTTCACAGAGGAGCTGGCACACATACGTCACGGCCAACAGATCCAGTCGTTTTAAACTTCAGCAGAGGCCACGCCTCCAGGAAGAACCACTTCTCTATAGCAGAGAGTCCAGACCCTCGTATGAAGCAAAGTGAAGGACAAGGGTCTGGTTTTTACCAGGTTAGAGCAGCAGACTGTGAACAAGTGTTGTTACAGACCACAGCTAATGAGAAACTACTTGATTTAAAAAAAAATCTACATGGCTCAAAATAAACTGACAAACACTAATACTAAGGATATTCTATCTATAATTTCAGTTAGTTTTAGTTAGTTTTGTAAAAAGATTATACAGTTTTAGTTATCGTTTTTTCATTTTATTACAGTTCATATTTATTTTAGTCCGTTGTTTAGTTAGCTTTAGTGAACTATAATAACCCTGAGGAACACAACGCGGGTTCGGAAACGTTTCTAAACGTCGGGGTCGCGGCTCGCTAACGACCTCGGCTCATGTTGTGTCYGTGCGTCGGCAGAGGGACAGCGGGGACGACGAGGACATGGAGAAGAACAGCGAGGACGAGGAGGGTCAGCTGGAGGAGCAGATCGAGAGGCTGCAGGAGAAGGTGGAGTCGGCTCAGAGCGAACAGAAGAACCTCTTCCTCGTCATCTTCCAGGTGCGGACCAGTTCTCTCTAAAACTGTGGGGCGTCTGACTGAACATCAGCTGAGTGTTTGTTTGTAAATATTTGTTTGTTTCTGTCCGTCAGCGTTTCATCATGTTGCTGACGGAGCATCTGGTCCGCTGTGAGACGGGCAGCGTGGACATCAGCATACCCTGGTACAAAAACTGCATCGAGAGGCTGCAGCAGGTCTTCCTCATGGTAAACATCACGCTCCGGGGTTGGGCGACGTTTGCAAAAGATAAAATAAATAAGAATCACGATTAATCGTGGTGTTTGGCCGGGACTGTTTTTAATAAGATKATTAATCCCCTGAACGATGTGTCCTCTCTATTAATCTGTTTTAACTTAGTATAAATCACTTTTTTTTCATAGTTTGATTGGTTCTGCATCTTATACCTCGGAGCGACTTATTTGTTGTTGTTTTTTCTCTTCGTGATACATTTTTGACTGATAACGACAGACATGAACCACGGAGGAAACAGTACAGTCTGCAGCCATGAGATGGCGCTCTAGGCTTGTGATTAGTAGTTAGCCCACTGCAGTTTACATTGTTCCACTGTTGTTAGCAGAAAGTTTGAAGTGAATGAGTAACTAATGAGGGACTGGCAAAAAGCAGAGGTTACCTCACTGCACTGCAGAAAATACAGAAAACTAATCAGGTGATGTGGACTGAGAGATTGGTGAACTTACTGTTAACTTACTCGTTGGAAGGTGTTGGGCCCGGGTGGTTCTGTTTGAACAGAGAGCTGCCTGCTGTASACGCCGGTAGGGATCAAAATAACAAACGCACAAATCTTTTGTTTTATTTTGCAACACAACATGAACTACATAAAACTGGAAGGAAAAGAACTGAAGACCGTATCGGATCATCCAGCAATATGAGGCTAATGACGAGAGGGGCAGGACCAAGGACAGTAAGCTAATGTTAGCTAGACAACAGAGGACGGCAAGCTAATGTTAGCTGGACTAGAGAAGATGGTAAGCTAATGTTAGCTAGATGACAGAGGACAGTAAGCTAATGTTAGCTAGACAACAGAGGACGGCAAGCTAATGTTAGCTGGACTAGAGAAGATGGTAAGCTAATGTTAGCTAGATGACAGAGGACAGTAAGCTAATGTTAGCTAGATGACAGAGGACTGTAAGCTAATGTTAGTTGGACTAGAGAAGATGGTAAGCTAATGTTAGCTTGACAACAGAGGATGGTAAGCTAATGTTAGCTTGACAACTGAGGACGGTAAGCTAATGTTAGCAAGACGACAGAGGACAGTAAGCTAATGTTAGCAAGACAACAGAGGACGGTAAGCTAATGTTAGCTAGACGACAGAGGACGGTAAGCTAACGTTAGCTTGACAACAGAGGACGGTAAGCTAATGTTAGCTAGACAACAGAGGAT